AATTGCTGACTTTGGTTATCACAGGATGTGTACAGCAGTGATTATTTCAGGTAATACCATTGTAATTATTGGCCTCGCCTACGCGAGGTATAGGTAGTTGTTGTGTGTGTCTGTCATTCATTCATTCTGTACAAGCGAAATTTGTCTTTAATAAACTATAACTTTAGCATAGCGTGTTCTAAGCTCCTAGATCTTTCTTTTTTACCTGGAAAAGTCTTGCTTAACTGTTTTGTGTTGCTCAAATATCAGCGCTAGGTACAAGAAGCTTCAAAGTGAGAAAATCGAGTATTTGAGTCAAGTTCCGTTGTGTTGGCACTCTAGAGATAGCTGGTAGCATTTTCCAGTAGATTAGAACATGGCCTTCAAAAGATATGAACAGATTTCTCTAAATCTTACTTGGTGAAGAGTTACAGTTGTCCTGGTTCTTGTTTGTGAAGCGCTGGAGCGACAACCTAGTGGGTTATAGGTACTAAAGTACCTATACTATCTCAAATACATGAAGGCAACAACTTTCTGTCAGCAAGTTTATCGTATATTGATGATTAGTAAAGAAAAAGTTAAGCTTCTTTCTCACATGGTCTTCTTGCTGCCATCATTGCAGTTGATGATGTAATGCCACACCTTCAATCTACGTGCATGGGAGGGGTTGGAGCTGCTTGCATGTATGTGCTGCAGTGCTGCTACTTCTGCAGGTATTCAAGAGCAAGTGCAACTGCAGGAAGCTAGTGTTGAGCAGACTCTCTTCATGCTGATAATCAAACAGCTATTACAGTGAGAGCATGCACCATAGCAGCTATAGGGGCGAGGCCATGCACCATAGGTGTCTCGTTTAATATTGGGAACCTCTCCTTTTAGAACCTGCACTACTTGTTCCTCTACTATAGCCCATTTAAAAAAATTGTAAAAAATTATCCAATTTTTCAAATATCCCCCTGTACTATAGCCCATGGTTTTTATGGAAAAATGGCTCTGAATCACCCCAAATTTTTGTTACATTTTCTGATACATATTGATGTACTTATGCTGTGTAGAAAGTTTGAACTGATTCCAACTTTAATTTTTCAAGTTACAGCCATTTAAAAATGACAAAAATCTAAAAAAATACCCAAGGCTATAGTCCACGGTTTTTTCTGATAATAGCTCCGAAATCGCCCCAAATTTTAATTCCGTATTCTGATAGATATTATACAGTATAGTATTATTCCACTGTAGGTTAGGTGAGTCAGAGTTGCTGCCCATTAGGTGGATGCCCCCTGAAGCTATTATGTTGTGTAAATTCACAATAGACAGTGACGTGTGGTCCTATGGTGTAGTACTGTGGGAGATATTCTCATATGGTATTCAACCTTACTATGGGATGAGCAATGAAGAAGTGATTAAATATGTACGGACTGATAATGTATTGAGGAGACCCCAAGGGACACCACAAGTAAGAGACTAGCTCCTGATACTCTACAGTACATTATATATACTAGTAATTAGTGATGATATTAATAAAGGGAGCTAGGGATATACTTAAGGTAGGCCTGACTATACTTGTAACCTAGTGTAGTAAGAGGATACTACAGTACATTGTATGGAGGATAAAGGTATTCATATGTACGTGTTATACCTGTCTATTCCGGACACCTTGGGACCCAATAATACCCTAGATCCTGATTATGAATCTGTCCTTATTTCAGAGGTTCATTAATACACATTACTATTGTATTGGGACTGATACTACCCCTCCTCATTATAGAGGCCTCCTTATTTTAGAGTGTCCACAATAGGAGGAGGTTATACTGTATTACTATTAGTATTCACTCCAGTCCTACTACTGGTTCATCCTTTAATGTTATATTAGAATGGAGTCATTATGTATCATGAGTATATATAATGAGTGGGTCTGTATCTATTCATTATATTAGGAGATATATGATCTTATGTTGGACTGTTGGGCCATTAATCCTACTGACAGACCTAAA